CCAATTCCTAACTCTCTCAGCCGATCCAAGAGAATGGCATGATCTATTTAATCTTGACTTCTTCCCAGTCCTGGAAGTCTGGACATAGCAGACATTAAAATAGATGCAGTTAAAAGTTCACATGACAAACAGTCATATGAACAGGGTGTGACAAACTATCTGAATTCCCCTTTAATTAATTACACAGGAATTCCAAATACCTTATTTTCCTGCGTATAAGACTACTTTTTAACCTGAAAAATCTGTGGTTAAAGTGGGGGGGTTGTCTTATACGCCGGGTATAACGATAAAAAGGATAGAGGCGCTAAAACACTATATTTTGACTGGAAAAATGGGGGGTCGTCTTATACGCCGGGTTGTCTTATACGCCGGAAAATACGGTACTGCTGTGGAGTATTGCAAGCATCTTTAGTTGGTAAGGTCTGTACTTTCATGATTTTCTTAATCAAGGGATTTTTCTGTCTGAGACAAAAGACAAGATGGCAACCCTGTAATCCACTTAGGGAAATAAATTGGACCACCAATTGAATATTACTTGGAAGTGGAACAGGGTCTTCCATAGTGTCTTGTAGCAGCAATAGCCTAGTTGTTGGGGTACAGGTCACTCTATGAGGCACAAACATATCCGCCAGATGTCCTGATTTGGCAAGGACAGTCCTGATTAATTCTCTGTCACCCACTTTTCAACTACTTTACTTCTCTTTCCGCTTTCTGCCTTTGTTCCCATTTTACTCCCATTGCTGCAAACTCAGTTCAAAGTGCAATGGTAGTTTGCACTCAACTGACCGAATAGCGGAAAAAGTAGGAGTTACAGTCTTGCTCTTCCAAGTAAGCTCAGGCAAAGGCAAACTGCTGCAGCCTCTCTTAGTTTCAATGTTCTTCCTTATTAATAACGTTTGCCATCTTGACATCTGTTGTTGTTTGGCCACATGTGCCCCAGTTTTCACCTGTGACTTGTTGGAAGGTATGTGTACATAGCACTGTTCTCCAACAGAGGAAAATGGCTGGGATATTTAGGAGGGAGGAGTCGCAGCACCAACCCTCATTATTCCAAATATTTAACAGAATCTTTTTTAAATCTCAGTAGCATGTTTTTGATATGCTGCAGAGTTCAAAGTGCAAAAACAGTTTTCAACCTTTTAACTCAGTGGGGAATGAAAAAGGTATAATCTTGCCTTTCCCAGTAGGCTCAGGCTAAAGCAAACTGCTGCATCCTCTCCTAGCTTCTTGTTCTTCCCCACAAATAACTTTTGCCATCTTAACCACACCCTGATGTTGCCTGGCCACACATGTTCTGGGTTTCACCTGTGAAATGTTGGAAGGTATGTATTAAAATTCTCTGTGAGATATCACTAGCATAGTAGTTCAAGAAAATGTTAGTTCACAAAAGTGGAACTATGATTTCCAGGATTCCATAGGATGAATAGTGACATTTAAAGTGGTACCAAGCTGCTGTAGCTTTGTAGTGAAGATACACTATGAAGATTATTGCATTACATTATAAACCGGCTACCTGAACCAGCTTAAAAT